CAACATTTTTTCCCCCCTTTTAAATCTACTGAGAGTTAACAGATCCAAGTAGTTCTTCTCAAAACAGCAGTGATGTAAGGTTTAGCTGATATAAGGTATGAATCTAGAGTGTTGGGATGCTTGTGGGCTTTACATGCTCCCTCTCAGCCATGTCATCCGCAGACACGGCGTAAACTTCCACATCTATGCGGATCACACACAAATCTCCTTGTCTTCCTCCAGCTGTAACTACCAATCCACTGATGTTCTGTCAGCTTGTCTGACAGACATCAAGGCCTGGATGAGCGCAAACTTCCTGCATCTGAACTTTGACAAGACGGAAGCCATACTCCTCTCTCCTGCGGTTCAGACCTCCTCACCCTTCCTGATCTCTCCCTAAGATTCGCTAGTCTCCCCTGCTCCATTATTCACAAAATTAAATTAATTAAAAATTCCGACATCCTCATTCTCACCCACACTAAACTCCCGTGCTTCCATTTTGACAGTCCTTGTCAAACTCCATTGGCTCCCTGTCACAGAGCAGATCGATCTCAAGATCCTCACTCTTGTATTTAAAAATCCCTTCACGCCTGGCATCCCCCTATCTCTCCAACCTGCTCTCTCCCTACACCACTACCTGTGGTCTCGGATCGACTGGCTCCGGCCTCCTCCTTGTCCCCCAGACCCTCCGCCCCACCATCGGCGGTTATGCTTTCAGCCACTATGCCCCGAAGCTGTGGAATTCTCTCCCTCAATCCCTTTGCCTTGTCCCCTCTCTTCCCATTTTCAGGTCGTGCTTGAAGACCTTCCTCTTCAACCATGCCTATGGTCACCTACTCCCTTATCCCTGGTTCGGCATCAGGCTCTTGCTACTGATAAGCGCCCCGAGATGCCGTCCTGCATGAAAGGTGCTATATAAATGCAAGTTGTTGTTGTTTTTGCCAGGGAATACACTGTGTATTGAGTAATGAAAGATCAGCTGAATTTTATGTGACTGGATGTCGCACTGGATGTTGAACACATTTTAGATCAAAATCACAAGTGACCATAGAAACCGCAAATCAAACTAGGGCTTCATACACTGTCTTGAGCAAACTCACGCAGTCATTTATGTGCATCAGTTAATGAAGTTAGAAGAAAACCTTTGGCTTCATTGCATAATATTTCACTTGACTAGGTAAAGGATTGTCGAAGATGAGAGGTCTGTTTGTGTGGTGTACAATCTATGTTAGTACTGGGACAGAGGGACAGACCCCTCTGCACCATATTGAGAAAAACAACGTTGGGTGCTGTTCTTTGTTCCTTTGAAGTGGTTGCAAGTGTGAGAACTAATATGATCAGTACTCTGACCCCTTCTTTGACCTGCAGAGGTACAACAAGATAGTCTTTTGCTTCAACTGTTTTTTAATATCTTTCTCGACTTTGTAAATAATAAGACTATCATTGTGAATCATAGACAAATGGCTGACAGGGCAACCAGAGAGCTCACTTCTGCTCAGTTTTGTCATGAATCCAGTGATATATTTATTGAGCTTGTGCTGTAGGAGTTAGAGCTGCTAATGGAACGTAAGAATTGCCCTAATCTCCTAATGGAATGAAATGTCTTCCTACAGGATTGCCCTGTCGAAGGATGCACTCCACCTTGTGCCTTACCATGAGCCAATGGATCACTGTCAGGATGGTGGAGCATGTTCTGTACATGGCGAGTGTGCATTAGACAATCGATGACACTTGGCCACCAGTAAACTGCTGCCCAATGTTAAAATACACTTGTTCAACCAGTTTTGGTTCTTCTCATACAGAGTTATGCCTTTGTTTGATTGTACCTTAAAAAAAAAATCACTTTTCTTTTCCTCCAAACCCTCAGTAGCAGGCTTCCTTCAAAAAGCTGGGCGTTGGTGGAATGAGTTCCAACCCTACAAAATGGCCAACTTCTGCATTATGGGTCACTTCTGTCACGCAGGAAGTGACATTGGCAGTGATTTGACGACCTGGAAGTCGTCCATTTGTTACTGTGGGAAGCTGGCTGACACACAGATTTCTGCTCGAAGGCGTAGTGAATGCAGAAGCACGGAGCAGCAGCATTAGCACCCCATTGTATTACTGGTTGGGATTTTATGGACCCCTTGTTATAAACTATTATGTTATAGAGAGTTCTATTATATGTCAGATAACTGAGTGGTGAAACTGTTTCTTTTCAGCTTGTTGGGAAGGGTGACGAGTTAACATGATGGGATGATATTGCTAGCATCTGGAGCTGAACAGACTTGATAGTTGACGGCTAGAACAGGTGGGGCTGTGAAAATAACAGGAGGCGAAGGATAAAAAAATCCAGACAGCATGTAGACGTAAGGGCACATCAATACGGCAAACGGGAGCACCAGGGGAATAGTTAAAACCAATAGCAGGCAAATCACTTGGGTTTATCCCATAAACACCTGCTAGAAAGCATTCAAGGCTTCCTGTGGTCAGGTTTGGTCATCCATTGCTCCTGATGCAGCTGCTGTGGAGACAGCAACATCATTAATGATGAATAAATGGTTGGCATTTATGTATTTTAACATTCTTTTAAAAAGTCTGTCAGCATGTCACTGTTCAGATCATTGTGCAGTGAGGGAAAATAGGGTAATCGTTTTTATTGTTCGTTTGACTGCAGTTGTACGTTTTCACTCGTTTTCCTAATCGACTGTTCTTAATGCTGCTTTCCTGAGCTCTATTTTAAGTTTAAGACATCATTGTAACAGCAAATTGCCTGCAGGCTTTCACTGAGCTGAGTGAAGAAAGCTGGAACTGTTTTGCTCAACTGGAGAATGACCAAACTGCAAGCTGAACCAGTCAACAGAAGTATAGCTCAGTATCTGAGGTTTTATTAAACTGATCTCCTTCTGTATCTGATTAGAAGGGTGTACTGATAACATCTGCACTTGCATTGAATAAAAGTAGCTCTTTTTCTCGACTGTTTTTGGAAGACTATTATTCCAGCTGAGCCGTATTGGGGTCTAGTAATTTGACCTTTCTTAAGCCAAATAGATGTTGTCAAATTATGCTAATTTAAGACTGTAACAAACCTGTGCATTTGCAGAGCAGTTGATCATTATTGGAGCGTGAAGTGCGGATGTGTCTATCTACAAAAACACATTAAGCATGTACCCCTGTTCTTTTTTATACATATGTACATACTTAACCAACCGCCTCCATTTCATCTCAGCAAATAGTTTCTCCTCCTGCCTCCACCCGGTCACCTGCGGGGTACCCAAGGGCTCCATCCTTTGCCCTCTTCTTTTCCTTATTTAAATGCTTCCTCTGGGCGATGTCATCCGCAGACACAGGGTAAACTTCCCCATGTATGTGAATGACATGCAAATCTACTTTGCCTCCTACAGTACCGACTCCAGATCCGCTGATGTTCTATCAGCTTGTCTGGCAGCCATCAAGGTCTGGCTGAGTGTAAACCTGCAGCTGAATATGGACAAGATGGAAGCCATACTCCTTGGCTCCCATCAATATCTTCACTCCTGTGGATCTAAACTTCTCAACCTCCCTGGGCTCTCCCTCAGACTCACCGAACCAGTGCGCAATCTAGGTGTCCGGTTCAACACCCAGCAGTCCTTCCTCCACATCCAGTCCCTGACCAGGAGCGCCTTCTTCCACCTACTCCACATTGCCTGCCTCTGACCATACCTTACCCCAAATGCAACCGAAACCCTTGTGCACGTGTTTGTCACCTCCCGCCTGGATTACTCCAACACACTCTTCGCTGGTCTCCCCAGATCCACTATTCAAAAGATCCAGCTCATTCAGAATTCAGTAGTTAATCCTGATATCTATCATGCTTCTTGTTGAAGTAGAACATTCCCACAATGCAGGATCATTATAGATTGTTATAGATTATATAAAAAATATTCGTCACTTCAATCCACGATTGTTGTGGGACACTGCTGTGCGCAATTGGCTGCCGTGTTTCGCCCACAAATATACAGTCAATTCACTTTACAGCATATTTTGTGAAGCGCTTTGAGACGTCGAGAGGATGTGAAAAGCGCTATATCAAATGCAAGGATTATTTATATCTATTATAACTCTGCTGCCCGCATACTTACTTGGACAAAATCAGTACCCAGATCTCACCAGTTCTGGCCAGGCTGTACTGGCTCCCCATCACTGAATGGATAGACTTCAAGATCCTCACACCTGTGTTCAAATCCCTTCACTCCCTGGCACCTCCCTAACTCTCCGACCTCCTCACTCCCCATTCCACCACCCGACGCCTCTGCTCGGCTGGCACCGGCCTCCTGCTCGTCCCTCGCACCCTCTGCTCCATCATTGGAGGTCACGCATTCAGCCACTACTCCCCGAAACTGGAATACACTCCCTCAATCCCTCCGCCTTAGTCCCCTCTCTCCCCTTTTTCATGTCCCACCAGAAAACCTTCTTCGGCCGTGCTTACGGCCACCTCCCCTTCCCCCGGCTTGGAGTCAGTTAAGATCTCTGAGACTCTACCGTGCGTGGAGGACGCTATATAAATACAAGTTGTTGTTGTTATATGTTTCTACACTGACCATATGGCAACTTCTCTCTGAGGTTCAGCAGGGATTCTAACAGTATTACTTGTTGAGGAACAAAATACCACAAATTAGAATAAATATTTTCTGAAATTAAGCTGGTTTGAAAAATAAGATTTGATGCAAATTTGTGCCATTAAATTCTGTCTTGATTCAGCTATCGCTGTTTCTGAGGACTGCACGTAAGCAGCTCTTAAGGTTCATTGACACCATGAAGTTTAAACATGTTTTATAAAGATGAATAACTGAGGTCAGCTATTGATTGATGCAGGAAATGTGTGTTATTTGATTTGCTTACTAATTCTGGTTACACTATGTTTGCAGCTTTGCACCCATCAATTGCTGGAATGAATAGGTGTCCTCATCTTTGTAATAACCCAAAAAAACACCACTCAATGTCATTTTAATGGCCAGTGAGATATGTGAATTTTACACATGATCAATTTCTTTTCAATACAGAATACAGAAAAGGTTTTTGTGGAATTCAACCATGAAGAACTGTTTGAGTTTTACAATAAGGTGGGTAATAAATTATTTGTATAAAAAAGCACTCAAGATCTGTAAATTGTATATTGCCTTGGCTAGAATTTAAATCCTAGAAAATGACAACTGTTGAGTCATTTTCACCAGAAACAATACATTAGTTATTTCTTGTGATTACCTCGTTATGTCTTAATGCAAAATTAAAATCCTTTCAGTTTTAGAACAGTTAAATCCTTTGAACCGAAAGAGGGGTATAATCTGAAACTACTGTGAACGTGAAAGGGGGTAAGAGCAGAATATTTACTGTGTACATGTCCCATAATGTAAGCTTTCAAAAATTATACCTGCTATTAACCTACAACTCATTTTACTCTGGAACTTCAATGTGTGTTTCATTGATGGAGCAGTGTCAGATATGTATGTAGAACACTGGCGATGGTGATGGGAGCGGGGGAAACAAGGCCCACAGAATAGGTCCACTGGATGCCAAAAATCAGTTGCTTCTCATTGTCACGGAGCTTGGTATTTTATACCCAGTGCTTCATTGATTAGAGTTCGGGGCTACTCGAGTCAGGAGGACAAAACCAGTATCCTGTTTATATTAACAAATTTAAAATACACACTTCTCAAAGTAACTTCAAAATATTTATTGGACAGAAGCATTTATTTTGATGATACCCCAAAGCTTTTAATTAAGTCGGAGTTGTAATGCATAAAATACTGGCGCTTACAGTTTGAGCAGAGGAGTGAGCTGACCCACTTGTTTGTTACAAGTCCCTCCAAGGTGCAAATCTGCTGCCTGCTCAAACACCTAGTGTTTTATTTCCTTGTGAGTGTATTCTCACACTCACAAAATACACATTCTTACACACGATAAGTTTTCATGTAAATCAGGCCTCCTTCAGACAACAACAACATCCTTTAACAGTTCCTGCTACCTGTGGGGTGTAAATGACAGAAACAATACTTGCAAACACAAAAGCAACATCCTAACAATCTCCATTCAAATGAGTATGCAGGTTCCCTGGTCATGACAATACCACCACCACAATCATCCCTTGAATCTCTGGTTCTGAGCCATTCCCAATTTGTGGTAGAATATTTTAACTTACTAGATTACAATCAAGTTTAGTTTTGGACCTGGCATTGTATGTAGAGTCTTTCGTTTCAGCATATTAACTTTTACTGGGTTCCTCCCCTGCATCCTCCATTTATGTGGTATTAAGTTCATGTGGTGAGATGATGTCATCCAAAGAGGAAGGGATCTGTTTCCGATCATTGGTGTGTGTAATTGGTCTCTTTTCAGACCGATTGCAAGCTTTTCTCTCCCCCGATCACCAACTTTTTCTTGCTCATGCCAAATGTTTGTGAAAATATAGCAACAGCCTGAAAGACATTAGGAAACAAAAAACGCCGTTAACAGCTATTACTCAAATAATATAAAATGTGGCTTTACCTGTATTGCTGCCATTGTATATTGGGTGGGTTATGATGCAATTAAGCATGTTTTTCACTTTAGATGTCACTAAAAGTGCTATTTCTAAAGTTATGTTTGTCGTATTTATGAAGGGGGAAAAGGTATTTTGCAGACCATGAGCTTTGGTACTCCTATTTTCCAAGAATTCTTTTCATTTATGATTTCTGACTCATTCAACTGTATTATATCAAACTATTCATCACAACAATTCTTGCACCATATAGAAATGCTACCATTCACCAAGCTATACTGATTGTTTTGAGGTCTTAATGTAAATGCCTTTACTAACTGGGCCACTGGTGAGGGATTAATGTTACTTTAAAATATAACTTGTTACTGAGTAATCAAATCACAAACATGTCATATTCTTTTGGACTGTGTATACACGGGCATTATAACAAATTTGGCATCAAACTGATCTAATTGTGTAAGCTAATCTGGAGTTGATCTGAGAAGTATTCCCGCCTCACTCCCTTGGCATAGTGTTTAATGAGCAGCAAAGTTACCTGTAATGCCTTTGCTGTTTTTGCAATGAAAAAGCTCTATTGTTGTAGATTTTGGATAAGATTTTTAAAATAAGTCCAATCTACCTACTCCAGTGGATGTTAAAGATCCCTTGCTAATATTGTGACTAAAAACTGCAAGTTCTCCCAGTGACCTGGCTAATTCTCCTCCTTCACTCAAATGTACCATAAAAGCAAAATCATTGCTCATTCATTTTATTACTGTTTGTGGGCTGTGGTGGAGGTTTTTTTTTACAAATCGTTGTGTGAAGCACTTTGATAATGATGCTGGGTTACATCAGATTATGTATTAATTACATGCCACTTTTTGACTAACATGATTTCTAAAAAATTAATTTCCAGTTGGAAACCATACAGTCCCAGCTGGACGCTCTAACATGAGCAAGGAGTACAGACCCTTCGACAAGACCCTCACCAGCCTTAGGTTTGTTTAAAATTGAGCATTTGCACAAGTGGTTGCAGAAATGGGAAGACCTGCCTCCATGGAGCAAGCACTGCAAGCTAATGGCTCTAAAGTTACCATTTCTCAATGCTTTTGCAAAACATTTGTTCTTAACCATTGCAAATTGTTGCTTACATCTAAAATTCACCTCAGTTTGAACGCTGCTTGACTAAAAGGTGTTCTCTATTCATTCAAGATTGTTGCCCTCAGCTAACAATGCCTCAATGTTTCACCCGATATTTGATTTATGCAGTGTTAGATTGAAGAAAAATAAATGTATTTTTTTTATGAAAGAAATTTAAAATGTGGAGCATTACTGAAGGAAGGCTTGAATAGGGTTTTCACATAATATTGTCTTGTGAATTTGGGGACAGCTGGAAAATTGATAGACTTGACCTTCAATCTCCTTGTTCTGTCTTTTAGCTAATCTGCCCTTCGGCTGAACAGAACACATATATGCATCTATTATTAATACATTTCACACAGTTAACATACTCAATACATTGAATAAACTATATCTTGAATGTTGCAGAATATGACTACAATTTTGTAGTCTCCCATTTGCCAGATTTCTTTTTAAAAAGGCTTTCTACAAGGCCAGAAATTATGTGTATGTATTGTTTAAATATGGTTTATGAGGAATTGTACAATTATGATTTATATTGATTGCTGAACTCAGAGGTCAGGATAAATGTTAATGAGCTTTAAATTTAACTACAGTAGCATTGAAAACAGAGCTCCTGTCTAACTTGCAGAGGCATAAATAAATGTATAAATGATAGAATTTGTAATGTGATTTTTTTCATGCGTTTGCCTCTTAAAAATATTTCCATTTGATATTTAGTTAATAATAATAATAATTCTTGCATTTGGTATAGTGCCTTGTCGCGTCTTCGAGACGTCTCAAAACGTTTCACAGAATATATTGTAAAGTGAATTGACTTAGTTGGTAGCACTTTTGCCTCTGAGTCAGAAGGTTGTGGGTTCAAGCCCCACTTCAGGAGTTGGAAATCATATTATCTAAGCTGACACTCCCAATGCAGGACGGGGGGTGTTTTACATTGGTAGGAGGTGCCGTCAGATGAGATGTTAAACCAAAACCCCATCTGCCTGTTCAGGTGAATGTTAAAGACCCCATGGCACCATTTGAAAAGAGAATCGAGTTTCTCCCGGTGTCCTGGCCAACAATCCCCCAAATAAAATCAGTCACTCACTTCATTGCTGTTTGTGAGACACTGCTGTTTGCAAATTGGCTGCCACATTTGCCCACAAAACACATGTTCACTGCGCTTACAGTATATCCTATGAAGTGCTTTGGGACGTCCTCCTGACATGAAAGGCGCTATATCAAATGTACGGATTATTATTATAATGGGAGCGTCACTTTCTTTCTCAAAATCATGCATTTGGTAATAGGGCGGCAAAAATCCCAAATGATGTTTTGTACCTTTTTACTTCTGGAAATCGTTCCATTTATGCAGAGATGAAAATCAGCATCAATAACTGTAGTCTAGTCGTTACTTGACTTTTAAATCTATTCAACAGTGCATAAAACTGCTGAACATCAATAAAGTAATCAGCATTATTGTACGTTTCAAGTAAATCTAATAGGTGATGAATTGTTATGCTTCTCAAATATCAATCTGATTTATGAGCAGTGTTTGTGCAATATTTGTAAAGGTTTTCTGAACATTCCTTCATAAAAACGGTGTCCCTTAAATCAGTCTGAAAGAAAAGATAATGAGTAAGTCAGCAGGAATAATTAAAGAAAAACCTTCAAACTGCAGAAAATGTCTTTTCTCCCACTCTTCCCTCACATACACTTTGTTATCAGGGATGGGAAATTAAATAACATAATTTGTAGTTTTTCATTTGTGCAGTACAGGTGCAGTGTAAAAGCTTCCTTTACTTTAACCTTAACCCCGTTTTCAGCAGATCAGCAGCTGTTAAACCAGGATGAAATTTCCATTTCCTAAATTGAGACTGTCCAAATTAAGATTAATTTCTGCTCCGTTCACTTGTTCCCAACATATACACGAGTTTAAACCTGTTCAAGCTTGTTTCACAATGGTCCCTCAGAGGTTTAAGAGGGGAAGAGCATTTTCATCCAATTAAATTGGTGGATTTCAACCCAGGTTCAAGATATGAAAAATAAATGAACCAACTCCCTCTGTCACAAAAATCCTTCCCATTGTTACTCATGTGGAGTAAACGTTAGCAAATAGAGTGGTCTTTTTGCCTTGTCCTTGATCAGCTAGATCCACAATCAACGAGTTTTCTCTTTAATGCATTCATATGGGGGCACAGGTTTGTTTCTGGGATAGTGTTTCATGAAAAAGTTGCAGGTAAATCTGATCACTCGTGAAATAAATGTTGTACATCTATTACATGATGATGGAATAGGCCAATGAAATATCAAGTGCAAGCATTATTAAATATAGCAGCTGGATTTACATCTCATGCTTCATTGAAAGGCTGTAAATGAGAAGTTTGGCAAAATATTTCTTGATAAAGACTGTGCTACTTTATTGCAGCCTGGGGGAAGAGAGCGACAACCAGGCCAATTTTTCTGAAACAAAATATTGCTTCTGATTTTTGGAACATGAATTTCCCCTTCAACCCATTAATATTTTACAGCAAAACTGGGCACCACACTTTAGGAAGGATATCAAGGCCTTGGAGAGGAGATTTACCAGAATGGTAGCAGGGCTGAGGGACTTCAGTTATCTGGAGAGACTAGCGAAGCTGGAATTGTTCTCTTTAGAGCAGAGAAGGTTAAGAGGAGATTTGAGAGATGTTCAAAATTATGAAGGGTGTTAATAGAGTAGATAGGGAGAAACTGTTCACACTGGCAGGTGGGTCAGTAACAAGGGGACATAGATTCAAGATAATTGGCAAAACAACCAGAGGGGAGATGAGGAGAATTTTTTTTACACAGAGTTGTTACGGTCTGGAATGTACTGCCTGAAAGGGTGGTGGAAGCAGATTCAATAACAGCTTTATAAAGGGAATAGATAGGTACGTGAAAAGGAAAAAATTTGCAAGGAAATGGGGAAAGAGTGGGGGAATAGGACTGATTAGTTCTTCCAAAGAGCCGGCACAGGCACAATGGGCTATAATATTGTATGATTCTATAATATTCTGGTTCAGGATAAGATTGTTACCCAGTTTACATTGCATCAACTCTTTGCCTTTTGGGCATGTTCTTTGGTGTTTGTTTCTCTGCTCAGCAATCCCAGAGATGCTGATGTTAGGGAATAGAAGCACTTCCTTTTCCTCCACGCATTGTCTTGGCATTAAGGACCCTCAGGTAAGATAGAGCACAGAGCTACAAGGTAAATGTCCCTCTGCCTCTCCTTATGGTCTGATGGATAAAGATACTGCTTGAAGTAGCACTATGCCTAAAAGACCACATGTTCACTTTCCAGTCCGCGCTGGGTTAGCTAATTTCAAATGGACAACAATATGGGAACTATAATTGGCTTCTGGGCTGAGCAGAGAAAAACAAACCTGTGTTCCCATTTGTGACTGATCTCCAGCGACCCCTACTGGTAAGTGTGTGTACATTTGCTGAGGGCAAAATTGATCAAGCTCTCCACAATAAAATGCTTCTCCCTCTATTTTCCCCCAATAAAGTATCTTGGTTCCATTCCCTACTATATTTCCCACAACAGTCACCCCTATGGTTTAGCTGACTGGCATAAGTTAAACTGGGAGCAATCTCCACTCATCCTCTAAATGTTGACCGAGGCTTGTCACTGCCCAAACTAATTACATGAACAGGCAAGAGACATTGAAGGCTTTTATCCTTTCTGTCTAATCTGGATTGAACCCTGATCACAGAGGTGAAAGGACAGGGTGCTATTCTGTTGCATCACCCAATCTCCTCTTTGTAGCATTGTTATGTTGCCAAATTAAAGCATGATTGTCTTAAATGCCAGATTCAATCCAACACAAACTTGGCAGTGTGAAGTTGCATGTTGGATGCTGCCCTGTGGCTAGTTGCTCCGTTTTCAGTTTTGTCTTCTGTTAAGAGAACAAAGAAAAGTTGAAACATTGCAGTTTATGACCAAGTTCACATGCTCTTGCCAATCACTTGACCAAATTGAAAGTGTAGCTAAGGGGTAAAGTACACAATGACGTTGACTAAATCAGCCCTGTTAAATGCTTACCAGTTCATATTGATCCTATTTACTTGAATGTGCAGTGAAGGTGATAGGTAGCTTTTTATTTACAATATATGGGGTTTAGATTGTGTCTTGTATCATTGTCCATTCATTATTTCTCTTTTTTGAAAAAAGCTTTATTCTCATTGGAACTAGAGTCTGGTGCACCACTGATTCAAGCACAACTGTTGAAAAGGATTTAGTTGGCGATAACATTCTTTCCATGCCATAGTAAACAATCATTTGGGTTATCGGAAGGTTACAGAAATAGTTTGCAGGCTCCTTGTGTTGCCTGCCAGATGTTTCATTGAGATAAAATATAATTTTCTCTGTTTAATAATCTTTTAACATGCAATACTTTTTACGATGTGGAAGTACTCTCAGATTGTTAAATGTTTCTGCATGGTAAAATAAGTTGTGAATGTGTATCTTTGTACGCAGTCCAATTTATGGAAAATTTTACACTAAAATTGAGGGCAACGTTGTTGTTGGCTGAAGGCAAAAGAAATGTTCGAAGATTATAACACTGGCATAGATGGATTTAAAATGGTCTTCAATAAATACAAAATATTTTAATAAATACAACATACAGCACATCCTTTAGATGTTCAGTTACTTGCAGTTTTACGAGAAAGAGCTATGAGGAAATATTTGAACACCTTCAGGATCATTTGGTAGCAATTTGTATGCTACTGCTGTTCCGCAATGGGCAAAGATGTATGATCAAGCGTACAGAGATTTGAAAGGAATCCCGACTCTTATCAGGAAATTGGAGGATAGAGAAAAATTAAAGAATGGAAAGAGATTTTTTTTATTTTGCTAAATAAATGTCCATGCATCTAATGTTACATTTATATTGCAGGGTCCCACAGCAATTTCAAATCATGATGAAATTGATTCACTCGACAATTGATGTAAAGACCAAGGCAAAAATAGGTTATCATGTTGTCAGTCGGTAGCAACCTTATCTCACAGTCAAAGCAATTGCGAGTTCAAGCCCACTTTTGGACTTGAGCTCAGCAGTCCATGTTGGCATACCACTGCAGTACAACAACAACTTGTATTTATATAACGCCCCTCACGCAGATTAGAGTCCCAGAGCGCTTGACAGTAACAGAGCACGATGCCGAACTAGGGATGGGGGAGGTGACCGTAGGCACAGTCAAATAGGAAGGTCTTCAATCGTGACCTGAAGATGAGGAAGGAGGGTCAAGGCAGAGGGATAGAGGAAGAGTGTTCCCGTAATTGGGTGTAGTGGCACAGCTACTGATGGTGGACCGGAGGACGCGAGAGACATGCAGAAGGCCGGAGCCAGTTGAGCGGAGGAGGTAGGTAGCGGGTTGGGGAGGGTAAGCATGTTAGAGAAGTAGGGAGGTGCCAGAGCATGAAGGGATATGAAACAAGTGTGAGGATCTTGAAATTGATCCGTTTGGTGACAGGGAGTCAGTGGAGCTTGGCTAGAACTGGTGTGATGGGGGTAGGAAGCTTAGTTCATGTGAATATATGGGCGGCAGAGTTTTGGATCAGTTGGATCCTGTGCATGGTAGAGCTGGGGAGACCGGCAAAGAGGGCATTTGAAAAGTCGAGTCGGGAAGTAACGAATGCATGGA